CTCCCCAGGTTTTACAATTGCAACATTTACTGTGTTGATGCTATTTGGGTCATGTGATATCACCTCGACGATAAATTATAATGCCAGACAATACTTTACATGATTTCGGTGCAAATCTGGTATAGGGAACAATATGAAAATGTAGGCAGTCGTGTCACATAGTTTGACAAAGACATTCATGAACGCAGGTATACTGTAGCATCTGCATTCTGGTTTTGAACTGTGGCCACCATTTGCTTTCTGTGTTTCCGAATGACAGAAATTATGAATGTCACACCAAATAAAGTATTTCTTTGGAGATAATACGGTAAACTCTGTATATGTATTCTGTAATGATTCGTTCCAATCAATTTATTTCAGATAAACAGCTTTGACTAATTCAAAACGTACTACAGATGTTCATGATAGCATTCACATTTTTATTTCCTTTGTTATGTGGTAACGATTGAGTTTAGTGCAAAGTGTATTCAGTGATGATTCGTTTTTGTCAATTTATTTCAGATAGACAACTTTGACTCCCGTTCAAACCGTACTACAGATTTTCAACATCATTCATATCATGTCATTCTGACAAGGACTCATTCGTTGCTGCATGATGCGTCAATGATTAACCACCTAGAGAACGTTGCAGTAATAATCCAACACGATGATGAATCCTGTCCAAATTCAGTACGTATGATAACCATTGAACATGCTTGTCGCGCCTCAACGAAATGCTAAATAGTATGATAATAGTTAGATAATGATTTCCGTCGTTCCGCTCCAAGGGGAAAGTTGTTACGTGTTTATACGTCGGTGGATGATCGACTCGGGTTATTCTCTGGCGTTGCTGTTTGTATTTACGGGGTCGTATTCAGTTGGTTAGTTGGTTGGTTTGTTGTTCAACGTCGCACTCGGCAATATTCCAGCCTTATGACGGCGTTCTGTAAATAATCGAGTCTGGAACAGACAATCTAGTGATTAATATCTTGAGCAGCGCTCCACGCAATAGTGAGTGAGTGAGTGAGTGAGTATGGTTTTACGCCGCTTTTAGCAATATTCCAGCAATATCACGGCGGGGGACACCAGAAATAGGCTTCACACATTGTACCCATGTCGGGAATCGAACCCGGGTCTTCGGCGTGACGAGCGAACGCTTTAACCACTAGGCTACCCGACCGCCCCCTCCACGCAATAGGGATCGATGACATGCATCAACCAAGTCAGCGAACCTGACCACCCGATCCCGTTAGTCGCCTCTAACGACAGGCATAGTCACCTCTTACGGCAAGCATGGATTGCTGAAGACCTATTCTACCCGCGAATCTTCACGGGTCGGGTCGCATTCAGAGAAGTACTGTCATGATGAATTGAACATCGTAATCGTAATCATCATCTCTGAAGCTGAAGGAGCAATAATGTTGCTGAAACCTGCCATGTTCGTTTTGAATAAAGCTATCTATGTTGCATAAGATGTTTGACTCGATCTCCAATATACCCGCCAGGCGCAACATGGGAAAAAAAGATCGCTTTGCTACCTGAATAAGGTGTGAGTGGGTTTAAATATTATTCCAAAACGCTGTTTCGTCTGAAATTAAATTGGTTAGATTTGAGTTTAGAATATCAAAACAAATCAGGTGTCAGTGAAAATACATAAAACTGCTTTAGTTAATCACGACTACTCTAAGAGCATCTGTACACTGAAGAAGGAATAAGCAATTTTTGGAAACAGAAACAGCTCCAGAAAATACTATACGATGGGGATTCCGGTTCCCAGCCTATGCTTGATGTTTCTATCAACTTAATTGATCAGGAGGTAACGTCTTTGACTTGGTTGATAGCGTTTTAACGACGAGGGACTTTTCTTAGTATCAATCAGTGGCTAGTTTGTGCCCAGATTATCACAGGACAACTGTACTCTTTCTGCATGTGGCGTTAAACAATACACGAACTATACTATATATTATAATAACTACATATCAATGTTCCTACCTTTGTACGGACCACTTTTCATTTTCATTTTCATTGCACATGAACTTCAATGATCATAATTATCATTGGACCTCCGTGTATCGCTTCAATATTGCTGACGATGACAAAACATAACCTCTTTTCAGACTTTTAATCCTTCTTTTAGACTGAAACCTGCAATGAGCCACAGATGTACACCCTGCATAATACACCAGACGGGCGGGTATTCGTCCCTGTCTCTGACAAGGGAGCCACAACAGCATCTCCCTTGACAAGGTTCTACCCTAACACCCAGTATGGCTACAACAGCCGGCGACTGTTGGTCAGCACGCTTGAGGTATGGGTATATTCAATGAGATTATGAATATAATATGTCCAGGACTGTTGTTGATGACATGTCCTAATCAGTAAAGATGATCGCATTCAGGCCTCTAGCTGCCCAAAAGATAGATCGGGTAGTCAAGCTCTGTAACTTGGGTGATTACGTGTCATCAAACCGCGATGACGTGTGTCGTTGTTCATGCTTTCTGTCACTGGTTTGTCTCGCCCGGACTCGAACACTATCCGCCATGGTATAGCTGTAGCTGGAATAGCACCGACTGCGGTCGTACGCCCCACCTCTGATTTATGTATCATATATTATTACAAGTTCCCCAATACCCATAAATTGGCAAGACTATTTTCCAACAACATCACTAAACACTTGAGACATTTATGTAAATTTATCTTTAAACTCGTGAATGAGTTCTAAAACCCTTCATCCTGATGTTAAATTAAACATGCCATGTATGTACACAGTGTCTTAAATTGTTCTACGTTCATTTATCAAATGCTAATTATATATTGTACTCTTGTACCACCGTTGGTGGTTTTGAGTGAAACAATGAATCTGAATCTGAATCTGAGACTCAGTTAGTTGTATGTTGTCCCCCATTATCTACATGACCCGTGAAGATCCGGGGTAGAATAGGTCTTCAGCAACCCATGATTTCCGTAAAAGGCGACTGTGCTTGTCGTAAGAGGCGACTAACGGGATCGGGTGGTCAGGCTCTCTGACTTGGTTGATGCATGTCATTGGTCCCAGTCGCGTGGATCGATGGTCATGACGTCAATCACTGGGTTGTCTGGTCCAGACTCTATTATTTACAGACCGGCGTCATACAGCGGGAATATTGCTGAGTGCGGCGTTAAGCAACAAACGACCAAACCATTATCTACGTTATTCCGTAAAATGTTAGAGTATCTAGCGTATATGTATCTTTGTTGTTTAACGCTGTACTCAGGAGTATCCCGGCTGTATATTATCGAGATAGTTGTTGGAATTCCCGTCATTTATCATAACTGTGTTTTACACAGCTTTGCTGCAGATTTTTATTGCCACTTGCTCTCCATCTCTTAATGTCAATACTATGTCCCCTAAAATATATTATTTTGTGAAATTTTTTTTTTTTCTTATTTGTCTTACCAAGTCCATGGTACTGCAATATATATCCGTTCTTCCAATTCTATTTTAGGCGCCTGTGTACGTCTCTAAGCGAGTCACCAACGGTAAAGCAGAATTTACTGGCTTTGTGTTTGATATCTTGGACATAATCTCAACGAAGCTTAATTTCAGGTATACTTTGAATATGCTCAGAATGTGTGTGTGTGTGTGTGTGTGTGTGTGTGTGTGTGTGTGTGTGTGTGTGTGGTTTAGCGCCGCACTCACGAATATTCCAGCTGTATGACGGTGGTCTGAAAATAAACGAGTCTGGACCAGACAATCCAGGGATTGACACGCAGCATCGTTTGCGTAGCATCGATCTACGCAATTGAGATACGATGACATGCACAAACCAAGTCAGCGATCCTGACCACCAGATCCCGTTAGTCGTGTGTATTCATGTACGAGACAAGACTGATGATGATGTTCATCTATGCTAGCCCACGTAGATTCTATGCCACAGTTTGACATGTGCATCTCACTCACACACAGTATACCATCGTTTAAATACTATTAGTATGACGAGAGCATAGTGATACAGTGTATGCTATTCATCAGGCGCGATATAACTGTAATACTGTTAAAAGCTGTGCTAAATCCAACTCACTCACTCACTGACTTGTCAGAGCTATTAAGGACAATCACATACAAAATAATATCCCCCGGGGCTTGATGTTTTACGAGGGACTCCGACCCCGGGTCATATGTTTTAGGTAATATATATCAAAGGTACTTGACATGTGGCTGATAATTCTTTTGGTAACAAAAGTATTAGTTTAAGTGAACTTTATAATCACAAATGTTTTCCATGAATAAAGAGTCCGGGTAGAATAGGTCTTCATCAACCCATGCTTGGCGTAAAAGGTGACTATGCTTGTCGTAAAAGGCGACTAACGGGATCGGGTGGTCAGGCTCGCTGACTTGGTTGATGCATGTCATCAATCCCAATTGCGTGTGTCGATGCTCATGATATTAATCAGACCGCCGTCATATAGTCTGGAATATTGCTGAGTGCGGCGTTAAACAACAAACCAAATTCATGAATAAACACTTCTTTAACCGCAAGAAACGACAGAATTTTTACAAATGTATTAACGGTAAATTATTATAATTATGGGCAAAACCATTTACTTATTAGGTCCCCGGGATATTTTTTCATTTGAGTGCATTTCACATGCATTTTTCTTTAGCTGTTAAAGATTATAGGTCCCATTTTACATCATGACATAACACGATCTGTCATTTTACGTTTTCGGTAAAATGAACACTCTGCGTACACGTGTAAATGCACATAACAGTCGTGTAGAAATTATCAGTTGATCAATCAAAAGTAATCAACCTAAACAGCTTAAGTGCTTTTGTTTTAGAGCTATTAATTCGAGGTGATCACCCCACACAATCAGGAAACATTATCCCCACGCCATGCTGGCTGCGGCAGTTATAAGTGGCAAACTGCAACCTGATCTGATTTGTCGATCATTCTCCCTGTTATCTGTAAAGCATATACACTGAAGTAATAAGCAAGCTGCTACCGCTTTGGTTTACATAACACAGTTATGATGTCACACAGCCAGCAGATGGGAAGTGGGGCGTACTCGAAAATGGTCGATGGAATGGGATCGTCGGTCAACTGAGCAGAAGGGTAAATATATAAAGTATAAGCAGTATTTTTTAAAGATGATTGTTTGAGTAAGCTAAGCGAGTTTGATTGTACACCGCTTTGGAGAAACGCCAATAAATATGACGGAGAGGATGGTAATACCAATAATCGGTTGCACACAAAAAAACATTTAGCACCGAATAGTCAATTGAAATTGTATTAATTTCTTCAATTTCCTTCAGGAGGTGGATATTGCAGCTGTCGACTTATCCGTGCAGCATGCACGAGCCCAGGACATTGACTTCATCTTCCCATCGTTTAACTATGACAGACTGGACATCATATACAAGAAGGGACCCGATTCTACCGGACATCTTTTTTTCTTTACCAAACCCCTTCAGCCAGGCATTTATCTCATATACTTTGCTGTAACTGTTGGATTGCTAATGTTATTCTTTTTAGTGGAACACCACTGCTTTCCCCTGCATGAACCGATTTGTGCAGCGGCACCAGCTGTTTGTCGGCAGGTTGCAGGCATAGCCTGGGAGTTTGCTGGCTCTGTATTCAGACAAGGTAGGCAAAGATTTATCACCTATTCTTATCTACAATTGTCATTAATGGACTGGGATGGCATGTCGTTGCATGTCGCCGTGTGATGCAGAAGTAGAATAGATGCCAAGTACCCGAAGCGTTTGGCAGGAGAACACTAAACTCGGAACTTGGTGTATACCTGTTGAACTGAGTGTCGTCGTAGAAATTTGTATGTACATGACATTATAGGCGATATTGCAAAGTAATAATTATGAATGACTTAAATGTCGTCTACAGAGACTGACCTCAAAGGTGATGGACTGGATGTAATATGATTGTCTGGTGTCCAACCTTGTCATATGCTCTGTGAGATTAGGGTAATAATTAACTTATAGGTTCCAAATGATACCAGAATATAATTAAATGTCTCATTTTCATACAAATGGTGGCAGACAAATAAAAATAAGTTTGGAAAAAGTTACGTCATATTTGCTTGTGCGGCCAATATGCCAGAGCCTGGCCTTTTGAGCATTTTTGTAAATTGTGAAATATTTCATGTCATTATATGTTATGTAAATCTCGACAGGATTTCAAACACAACCAAGAAAAAATGCCGCGCGGATACTTCTCGCCTCATCTTGGATATTAACAATCCTCATCTCGACCATATATTGCGCTAATCTCATGGCTGCCCTCACAGAAGTTACAGATACGTCAGCGATATCCAGCATCAACGACCTTGTCGACAGCAACTACAGCACTGGGATGCTTAATTCCGGTACACCATATGATGTCCTACGGGTAAATCGAAACGTTTCCTTACAATCAAGAAAAAGTTATGTTATCGTTGTTTTGTCCATTCATACATCTAGTCGGTTACCGTAGACGTAAGTTCTTTTACAAAATGAGAATTGGTGTCTTCCGTACATTTAACGTAAATAAAAGCAACATCATTTCCATAACCATAGCAACAAAGGCGACAATAGATAAAAAACAAAATAGATGTCTGCTAAAAGCAGAGTACGACCATATCGTTAACATGTGTTATGAATCACTGTGAAATTGTGGTGATACGAGGTGTTCGCGAAAAGTGATGGCATAATGTCCGACCGGTGGCACCTGTCACAAATACATGCAAAGGCAAGTTAATTGTTCAACTGAAAGAAACACGGGAACATTACGGTACAAGTCAAAATGGGTAATTGCATCGGACATGTAAATCATTGATGCGTCAAATTTTGAGAAGTCCTCATCTCCACCTAAAGTAGAATCGACTCACTATAAATCACATGACAGTTCTTGACCTTGTTACAACTCTAGATGGGATGGTGGGTTCGATTCCCGGTTCGCCCAAATTATGTATCTAGGTTTGTCAGCACCATACCCGTGCTCGTGGGTTTCACCAAAGTGGTAAACGTCGGAGACCGGCATCACTTCGAGCTTTCCTCCCACATTAAGCTGACACGCCGTGATGTAACTGGAATACTGTTAAAAGCGGCGTTAAATCCAACGCACCCACTCCCTCATTAGATGCGATGGAAAGATACACAATAATTATGGGTTTTTTAAAAAGACGAGGTCACCAGACACTTTTCTCTCACTAAGCCAAAAAATGTGTCAGCATCAACTTTAAAAGCTGGACAACCCTGTACTTTTGAAAAATAATGTTTTCTCATTGAACAAAGCCAAAAGTATTGATCCCCCTTAAAGGTTTTGTTAATTTCTTTTGCCAACTATAACAAGGTGTACATCATGATGACTACATACACTCATATTCGGAATTATATCTTATTCAAACCTCCTTTCCTAAATATTAAGCTATCATCAAGCTAATCACTAACCGGCTGTTTGTTTGTTTCCTTTGTTTGTACAGTCGTCAAAGAAAACAGGGATACGGCGGCTTTACGAAAAGATGGTAAAATTAAGTGAACAGGATGCTGGCATTTTTAACAACGACGAGGAAACCCACATGACGAGAGTCATGGAGGGGAAACATTCTTTTATCATATATAAATCCAGTGCAGAAACATACATGGCTGACGACTGTCTCCTTGCACTTATTGGAGAACCTGTAAGTTGGGAGTATGAAGAGATAACGTTTGGAGTACTGAAAGGATCCCCACTGAAGTCGGACTTTGAAAACATGTATGTTTTATCCAGCTCTTGTTTACAAGTTTTGCTGATAAGGTGTCTATGTTGATATTGAAAAAGATCAAACTTCAGATTGCTTGAATGACCCTTTTCATAGATTAACATAATTTGTATTTGGCACACAAAACATTTTCTCGAATACCATATATGTTGGTTAATTTATGAAGAATTACTCATATTCAAATAGTAGTAGATTGTTTTGATGCACACACGAACGTACTGGTATGTTGTGTGAACCGACGCTCATGAACGCATCATATATGACGTCATACATCCATGACACGAGATGCACCATTTGTCTCGTGCAGGATTAGCGTGTAAAGTTGAAAATCACGCGCAGCATAGCGTGATGATAATGATAAAGGCACTCTGTGGTAACACTTGACTGATAGATAGTTTTGTCATTTATGGTACCCATTTGAAACATCCCTTCTTTATGTTACACACTTCTCTATATTTGTTTCTGTGGCTCGCGTTTCTTATGGCAGTAAGACTTTGAATATTTGGTTTTAACATATATTTATTGATTATTTTATAATTCTATTTTATAACTGTTTATGTATTGCGTTTTTCGTTAAAGATTCCTTTGAGCGGAGGTTATATATGTACAGTATTGACATATTTCTAAGATATGTTGTGTTGTTTACTTTTACTGTCTTGTACAGGTAAGACTGTGATTCTGGTTTTCAGTATGTACACTCTGAAAGAGAGCGGTATGCTGAATATTTTGTGGACGAAATGGACCACTGGTGGCAAGACCACTGGCCAATGTGGAGTAGACAGAAGAGGCAAATCCATCACAATGAGAGAGATTGAAGGAGTCTTGCTTGTGATTGGTGGAGGACTGGGGCTATCATTTTTAGCCATACTTGTAGAAATGTGTGTACACCGTCTTCGCAAAACTTCACACTTTTGAATATATTTACATAAATTAAGGAAAATAACGACAAAGGTTTTCCTTCAACATGTTTCATTTGGAGCACTAATTTGTTTATACTGAACACTTGCTATGAGCACTTTCCAATACTCTGTGTGTGTATTTTCCTCTGACGATGTCATAATTGATGGGAATATGTCCCAGCTTGTACATGTTTATTTCTTACGTGGTACTAAGTAAGCCGTTTTTCTTACCTGCTTTCCAAATCAAGAAAGTAAAGAAATGTTCATAAGAGTTACTTTATTATCGCCGAGTCTGAAAAACACATTTAGCAATAACATATATCACAAATTACATTCAATGTAGTGATAATGTATGTGGAATAAAATAGCTTTCGAGTATTATGCGCAGTAAAACACATCGTATCGCTTCAGTAGATAACAAACTCCGTGAATAATAATGTTTGTTTGTTTATTGTTTAACGCCGCATTTAGCAATATTGCAGCTATATGACGGCGGTCTGTAAATAATCGGATCTGGACCAGACAATCCAGTGATTGACATCATAAGCATCGATTCACGCAATTGGGATACGATGACACGCATGAACCAAATCAGAGAGCCTGACCACCTGATCCCGCATAGTCGCCTTTTACAGCAAGCATGGGTTGCTGAAGACCTATTCTTACCACAGCAAAAAAAATGCAGTTTCCGGTATCCGGATACCTGCCGGATACCACCGGACACTTACCCAAAACGCGTCCGGGTATCCGGTGGCAGATACCTTGCCGGATACCAGATCCGTGGTATCCGGCATGGACACCTCACCTGAAAGTATGCCACCTGGAATCCGGGTATCCGGCACCGGATACCTCACCGGATACCTCAATCTGGGTGTCCAAGGATCCGCACCGGATACCAAGAATCCGGCACCGGATACCTCATTCTGAGTTTCCAAAAACATGTAACAATTTGGGGGTGCATTTTGTTCAATTAAGTGTGAGACACCTAAATATATATTGGAAACTAACCATGAAAATTGAACATTGCTGAAGGTATCCGGCAGGTATCCGGCAGGTATCCGGATGCAATTTTTCGAGATGTCTTATTTCTTGTAAATAATGTTAGCCTGGGCATATCAGATAGCTGTAGTAATATTCTGTGTCATTTTAGTTGTAAATATCCCCTTAAAGTTGAGATCTATGGCCATGTACTTTTGGAGAAGACAATTTTTTTCAATTTCATCTATAATTCTTTTTAGATGTTAAGCTGTTTAATGAACAAACATCAGTTCTAATACATGTATGATGATATCCTTAAATTTCATGTTCAGACTTCCAGATTATTCTGAGTGAAAGTATAAACTCAGCGACTGTGTGCTCACTTGGGCCTTTGGTCCTAGTGAGATGATAATATGATTATTTGTAAAGGTACAAGTACTTGTTATGAGCATACCAGCTTCATTTAAGTTTGAAACACAATATGCCTCACTCTGAGGGTGACATGTACCAGATTTCATCACACTACAGAGAGCTGTTCCTCAGTTACTGTGAACATTTTTACTGAAAGACATTGAAAGCTAATTTGACCTTCAATATCAGTTGCGACTATTTCAAAAACAATTGTAAAGTGCTTCATTCAGTGTAATATTGACAAACATATGACAATGATATACAACTATGTGTATAAGAGTTATTTAGACTTCTGCGGGAAAAGGCACATTAGAGAACAAGAGTCATCAGAAAGATGACATATCCCCCCGGCAGCTGTCTGTAAAGTAACCACTAGTGCATTTCTGTATGTAATGAGTCAACAGTTGAATGTTCTTTCAGAAGCATACATTGTTTACCCACAAAAGATCCACCATGGTCGCATCCATATGAATGCCAAGTTTCGATCAAATACATTGAATGTTTTTCGAATTCTGCCCCAGAAATGAACCTCATCCCCAATTGAGTCTATGTCCAACTTGATTCCATTAAAAAAAAAAAAAAAAAAAAATTAGAAAAATCCCAAAATTTGAAAGGCACCACTTCAGTATGTGCATGATAGCTTTGCCAAGTTTCGATCAAATACACTGAATGGTTTTCGAATTCTGCCCCGGAAACGAACCCCATCCCCAATTGAGTCTATGTCCAACTTCATTCCATAAAAATTTAAAAAAATAAAAATTAGAAAAATCCCAAAATATCAAAAGGCACCACTTCAGTATGTGCCTGATAAGAGTTGCCAAGTTTCGATCAAATACACTGAATGGTTTGGGAATCCTGCCCCGGAAAAGGAAATGATTACGGACGGACAGACGGACAGACAGGCTGATCACTATATCCCCCGTATTATATGCCGGGGGATAAAAAGTAAGTGTATGACCTGTTGCCAACTTCTATCCCTGCCCTAAGGAAGAGTTTGGCCATTAACAATTTTTTTGTCTGGCTGTGACATTGACCTTTGACATAGCAGATCAATGTGTTATTCCAAAGATGTCCAAGCAATGCATGGTTTTATACGATAACTGTGGCTATCAAACTGAGGCAAAATATTGGAAAATCCCCATTTACACAGCTGGCTAAAGAAACAAACAACAAACAAATTATCAATTTCTTTTATTTATATGCATATATCACACATTGAACAGTGTTCATATAATGGTTCCTGATGCAGTATGCACTTTCCTCCTATTCTTCAATACTCATAACAGAGCGGGATAACTGTTCGCTTGAAAGCATCAGCAGACCATGCTCACCAGTTCAGAGTTACTTGCCCTCAAACATCCTTTTCCTTCTATATTGCCATGGAAAAACAGGAACCAGGATGAGGGGAGGCCAGATGGGCTCTATCCCTGTTGCATTGTGTTAGTAGAATTGTGAACATTCTATTTGGTGTTTGGGTCCACATTTATAGACAAGTAGTCGCAAACATCATTCCTTTCAAGTGATTACCACATGGCCAAAGACAATAATTTCTTCAACGTCCTTGAAGGATCCCACTCCGACTTGGCATTGGTTGGTCTTCTCCCATTTGCCTGACCACCCTTTGTGAGTGTGTCCCAGTGTCAATTGGCATATAACTTCTCGGTAGGCTCCCATTGAAATAACAGGACTCTCCTCATCGCTGTCTGACAATCACTTCGGATATCTGGAAGGGCCCTTCCAGACTGTCAACCTGTCACCCGGGTATCTCAAGCTGGACTTCAGTTTCTGCAAAATTATGTATAAAGATTGTAGCAAAAGAAAAGAATTGTTGCAACATGTACTTACAGATAAAAGGCAGCAAATTCACTTAATTTATCATCTTTGAGTTTTGTTATATACCAAACATTTGAGATATATATTGTGACATCTCTTAAAAATGTTCCTAGCAACCTATGCTTGCCATACAAGCCAAAGTAATAGATGAGGTAGCAAGTGGGCTCATTGAAAGCTCGTAATCGTACCCAATAACATGGGATGTTGTCCATAACAGTCATCATCGGTGCGTCTGGATCGAGCTCATAACATTAATCTCTGGTTTGTCTAGTTGAGATTTGAGATTTGATTAATTTATAATCCTTGTCATTTAGCCGAACTATTGCTGGATGTGGTGTTAAATGAGTGAATTGGGTTTAACGCCTCTTTGAACAGTATTCCAGTTATATCATGGCATGTAAGCTTGATGTGGGAAGAAAGCCCGAAGTGATGCAGGTCTTACATGTTTACCACTTTGATGAAACCCACAAGCAAGTGTATGATGCTACCCTCGATTCAAACCCACGACCACCGGTTTCTGTCAAGCCCAAGAGATGCAACTATGCACAGCAAGTTGTAGTGCCTTTGATAATTAGGCCATCCATGCCAACAGGTGATAAAGAACAAGCAAACTGAAGAAATATTTGCAGAATAGCTACATGAACATGATGAACCAAACAGAATAATTTCAAATATTTACCACTCACTGCTACTCTTCTCTTGTTCCTCATTGCTTCCCTTTTTCCATTGATGCTGTGCAGATGACTGACTCATTCATTCATCCAGACATTCTGCAAACATAAGTAGCATTCACATTAGAGAAATGTCCAAACTGTACATGCTGTACATTGTATTCAATTGAAAAGGCCCCAGTTGAGTTTCCAACTTAGAACTGTCCTTATTAAAATATTTCATCCCAAACATTCAGAGATAAAACATAACCCCATATTTAACAACTGTCAAACAATTATTTGACAACAAAGCCAGGGTCATTCAACATACACTTTACATAAGGAATCACTTGTTGCAAAAAAGATCCTCGCCAAGGTCAGAGTCATTCCATGAAATATTGAATGATTAAGTTATGAAGCTTATACAAAACAAGGACATAACAGTGTAATTATAACAATATCCTAAGCGTAAAAAAATAAAGTCTTTGGTGGCCATTATTGTAAATTATAATCTGTATTAGCATCCCACGAAAGTTAAGAGTTAATAATCGTTCCTAGATCTTGGTACTTTTCTTCATTATCCATAAAAAAGCGGATTTAATTTGGATCATCTTGTTTTGACCACAAATCCATTACGCCTCTTATGCTAACAAACAGTTGACCATAATACTAAAAAAAGGACCCTTGGCGTTTACGGTAAAGTATGTAGAGCAGGAAAATATCTACATCAATCCGTTCCATAAGATCTCTGCACAGAAATCATAAGGCCTCGAAGCCCTGCTACGTACCTGGCAATGCCAATCGCCTTTCCAAATACTGTTGACTTCCGCGTTGTGGATGGCTGAGAGGAACTTCGGCCGGCATTTCCGTGGTGGAGGTGAAATGAGAACAATGTATCGATACACGAGGTAAGCTTATCGTAATCAAGAATCACAGTGTATATCGATACACGAGGTTTGTTTACATCCATGTTCTAAAATGGCGCTCTGGACCGTAGGGGAATATGGGTAAAATGGCTTGTTCCGGGTTAACACTAAGCTGGGCCCCGTCTCTAATATCACATTATTGTTTGGCGCAAGTTGACGAAGCGCATAGGGAGCCGGGAACCAGGTTAACACGACAAAAGCTGGTCCCCGGCTCTCTATGCGCGTCGTCAACTTGCGCCAAG